TATCTTTTTAATTATCTCTTGATGAAACCTTCTATCATGTGCATTCAAAATAGGGATAGTTTGGTCTGTTAAAAAACAAAAGGAGACTTTGGGGAAAAAATATAAATATGAGAAGAGTTGAGCTTTTATATTTAAGATAAAAATATGCCTTTTGTCTAGCTTTTGTAGTCAAAATCGGAGGTAGCATATGTATAGGCAAAACTCTTTGAATGTGTGTGAGAGCATGTGTATGTATGAGTTAATCTTACTTTTTATTGCTTTTATGTTGCTGGCTAAAAATATCTTAGTTTTATCTATATTTTTTATTTTTCATGTTAGCGTAAGTAACTAAATATACAAATGTAAAGTGCAAGAAAAATTTTGTCCAAAATCAATAAAATGTAATACTAAGATATTTCACGACAATATGATTATAAAATTGAATTTATGAGTTGTAAATTACAAGCCGTTAATTGCAAAATTGGTAATTATAAATATTGAATTTAAAATTGAGTAAAATACAACAATTTAATAGATTTATTTTTACATTTGAGTTTTGGCAATGAATTAGTCAGATTATTAAAAGTATAATATTATACTCCTTCAGTCCTTAATGTAGGACCTAATTTAGAAGCTTATATTAATTTTATATATAAGACTTATTTCACAAGTTTATTAATCTTTTTTCAAATTAATCATATTGATATTTTTCTAATAATAATTAAGTAGGAGGGGGGAGGGAATTAAGGAAGATGCTAAGGGTATTCTAGAAAAAATATACCATATTAGCTAATGTAGCTAACATCTTCACTCTACTCAAATTAGTTAATTAAATCTTATATTAAGAATTGGAGGAGTATAATATAAAGTGTAACACCATATCATCCTTTTACCAAAATGCAGAGGAAGTACTTATAATGTGGACCTGAGGTAAATATAAGATGTTGCTGTTGCAGATAAAATAAATTAAAATCTTGTGTTGCTGTCTTGACTTTTCAATATTTGAGGGTTTTCTCCGACGAACACAACTTAATGGCTTAGAAACAACATATTAGTAAAGAATTTTGATTTGATCATTTATGTACATGTTCTTAATTAGTCATTCAATTATGCATTTAATGAAAAAGTGACATGAATGATGAAAGCAAAGAAGCAAAGAATTATGAATAAAATTTAGTTTACCTCTTTATATTGATTCATCTTTAACCTACATTGCATTAGATCTTAATTGCCCTACCTATACATAGAATATGGATCCTTTGAAAGTGTTAGACAAAATACACAACATTACATATTCACCTGATTTTAATTTGAGGCCAGAAAGAAAAGCATATATTAAATTTTTTTTTTTGGCCAGAAAAGCAGATATTTGCTTAATCAGTAGGAATAACCCTCCTCATGCATATGCCTTAAGAAGAGGAGTTTTCTGTGTCAAAGAAATTAAATTTTACCTGAATAGAGGTCTCTTTCTTAGATGTATAATTGATTAAATTAACTAACTACATGTATCTATATGGTTGATTAGGTAAAAAGTGGAAGCTTGAGAGCAGCTGAAACTTTTCCAAGTGACAGGTATCTGGTCGAGTTATCCTCATCAAACTCTTCACAACTCGATAATTCAGTGGAATCCTTGCATGTCGATGGCATCTCTAGCAAGAAAGCTCAAAATGATGTGATTCACTATGAAGACATAACCTTTCGAGACATCCTTTTCGACTCGAGCTACCGAGGTGGAGGCATTTCAATTGCTGATTCTGCTAGAATCCGAATCAATAGCTGTTTCTTTCTCCACTTCACGACAAAAGGGGATTCTAGTCCAACGAGGCCATGAAACCTTTATCTCGAGTTGCTTTCTTGGACAACACTCCACAGTTGGTGGAGACATAGGTGAGAAAGACTACTCAGGAACCGCCATTGATCTTGCTAGTAATGACAATGCAATCACAGATGTTGTAATTTTCTCGGCAGCCATTGGGATTACACTTAGAGGCCAAGCTAATATGATTACTGGAGTCCATTGTTATAACAAAGCGACATCTTTTGGAGGCATAGGCATATTGGTGAAACTAGCTGGGAATTCACAAACTAGAATTGATAATTGTTACTTGGATTATACAGGCATAGTCATGGAAGACCCAGTTCAAGTTCATGTCACAAATGGGTTATTCTTAGGAGATGCTAATATTGTGCTAAAGTCAATTAAAGGTCAAGCCCTGGGGTTAAATATAATGAATAATATGTTTAGTGGGGATCCCAATAAGAAGGTTCCGATTGTGAATTTAGATGGGCAATTTGGTGATATTGATCAAGTGGTGATTGATCAGAACAATGTGAATGGAATGGGGTTGAGATCAACGATCGGGAAGTTAACAGTAGGGGGAAATGGAACCAAATGGATTGCTGATTTTTCAAGTGTGTTGGTATTTCCTAACCGGATTAGTTTTTTTCAGTATTCGTTTTATGCTCAAGAGCCTAAATTTGTGGCACATTGTGTGACCAATGTGTCAGATAATGTGGTGGTTGTAGAGACGAATGAAGCAGTTAAAGGGTTGGTATCTTTTAGTGTTGAGCAATGAAAAGGCATAAACTTGATGCAGTATTTACTATACATCATTGTAATTATTACTAATATGTTCCTATTTATAAGTAACTTGCGGGGAAATGAGCTTTTTTCAATTTTCTCTTGTTGACTTAATAAATAAAGAGAGAGATAAAGTAAATAGGTGAGGGAATATGTAAAATATATTTTTAATACCATTTCTTTAATAAGAGCAAATGTGAAAAAATTATCTCTTTAATGCATTTCTTATTTTGCGGATTTGGAATACAAATGACTTAAAAATATGAATAGAGTTCTATTTGATATTGTACAAAGATCTCTCCTATCCTCAACAGGTTAGAACTTATCTGATGTATAATCTACTAAAGCATAAATAATTCTTTTTATAGGTAAAAGTTTAGGTGAGTTATAGGTGGGTAGCAGGATTTGAACTTGTGATTTTGTGGTTTGAGTCAATTCTTTATAGTTAACTTCTGTTATCTAGCAAATGTAAGCATTTTTCATAATGAGAATTTGAACATCATTTCTTTATGTCATGAGAGACTAGTTGATTTTACTAGACTTGAGCTGAAAAAAATAGAAGTTAGCATATTGGGTTAAAAAAGTACCCAAATAGAGGCGTATAACCATGCTTATCTATCCTTCCATTTCTTTTATTTTTGCCAATTTGTCTATTTCAATTTTTTCTTAAAAACATTATGTTGACATGTGGATATCCAATCATCCACAGCTAAGGACCAATAAAGCAAAGCATCATGGCGGAAGAGCATTATGTTCAGATTGGGTGATTCGTTGGAATTTTGGATCTTTGGATTCTGACTTAAGTATTCTCTGCCTTAGTAATTTAGTATGATGTTAGTTTATATAGGCATCTTACTGGTAATATTGTGCGTTCTATTACTCCTAGATTGTAATGTGCTGTTTGACCCTATATCAAAAAAGAGAAAAATATCATGTTAACACGATGCGAGGTAGATGAAAACAGATTATAAAGAGTATTAAGATAGGAGTGGTAACATAATCTACCCCGATCAATGCAGTTTTTTCTCTGAGAGACACAGTTCAGTCAACAATATGGTAGCCAAAGAGGTCACCCACTCTATGCGACCTATGCAACGAAATAAAGGTTATATGGTAATAAAGAGTGATCTAGAGAAGGTGCATGACAGAGTAAACTGGAATTTTCTGCACCACTATCTTGTGGAACTAAATCTACCAAATCACCCGGTGGAGATCATAGACAATTGCAACACCACTGTTTAGTAGTGCTTTGAGCTTTCAATGGTAGCAGATTTGGGCAAATACCTTGGAGTAGCTTTGTATGAGAAACGGGTTACACAGGAGAGTTTCCATGAGATCGTCGACAGAGTCAAAAAATGACTCTCAAACTAGAGAGATACAGCCCTTTCTCTTGCCAAGAGAACAATCTTCTCTTGGCAGTCACCTCAACTATTCCGAAGCTATACCATGCAAACATATTCTCTTCCTAAGCAATTTAGAAGACCAATAGAGCCGTCATATAGGGCTCCACTGCAAAAAACAGGAGAAAGACCCATTTAGCCGCTTGGGAGATGGTTTGCAAACCCAAAGCACATGGCAGGTTGGGAGTTAAATGCATGAGGCTATAGAATCAAGCATTTATGGCTAAACTTGGTTGGAACCTAATCAAGTGGTGTGAAGACCTATGGGTTAGGGTGATAAGGAGCAAGTATAAATGTGGTAATGACTTGAACCTTGCTATTGACATAGAATGACACGGGTAATTAAATATGCTGTGTAGGGGACAAAGGAAGCTTGGAAGTATGCAGAAGAGGGGATTGTGATTGACCATGCAAAATAGAATAACACGCTGGAAGTATGAAGGAAACAAAAATTTCAGCATCAAGACTGCACACCAAGCTATCACAAAGGAGTCTAATGACAGCAATGAAGAATGTGTCTAACGCAGTTTGACCAGTGATGCTTCATGTACGTGGTGCCATTACCACTTGGAGTCTGTAACTCATGTCCTTCGTGATTGTCCAAACACTAAGAGTTTCTGGCTTGTGCTGTTACGAGGTGCAACGAATTGCCTATGTTTCAAAGCCAACAGTGAAAGCTAGATTAAAATGTACACCATACATGGTCTTCTCTCTGATTTAAAAGAACAGGGTGAGCCTTTTCTGCACAACTGTTTGATTGCTTTGGAAAAGGCTAAACCAGTATGTCTTTGAAGGAAAAGTTCATAGCAACGCCTCTTTAAAGGCTGCTACCTTTGCCACCACCATGGAAGCCATCAGGTGTGCGAACGATAAACTCTAGGGAGTAATGTCTAATGGCAGCCAAACTGTGGCTCGTTCACTGAGTTGGACACCCTCAGAGGGATGGATGAAAGTTAATACCGATAGGGACTGCTTAACACACACGGGAGGAGCAAGTGGAGGTGTGATTTGAAATAGTCGAGAGGAGTTCATATCTGGTTTCATCCTAAGGGCTCCACAGGTGATGCTTTGATCACGGAGCTTTGGGCGATTTTGTTGGGGCCTAAACTAGCTTGGGATTCAGGATCAGGACAAGTAGTGTTAGAAACTGACGCAACTGAGGTCCTTAGGCTGATTAACGAGGCGGACCTCTCGACCCACGTTGATGTGTCCCTGATTGAAGAAATTAAATCTGTGAGAACCAGAGAATGGACAGTTGTCTTCAAGCATGTTCCGAGAGAGAGCAACCAAGTAGCAGACCTTTTTACCAAGCTTGCTATGGTCACGACGCTGGGATACCATCTTATAGTAGTAGCTCCTGATGTGGTGGTGGAAGCGATTTGAAAAGACATGGAGGGGAGGGATGACAATGGATAGTCTCTAAGAGCTGCGTTTCTCTTTTGGTATTAAAAAAAAGACAGGAGTAGTAATGTGGAATCCGTTTGTGTTCATCAAGGTGATGATGAGTGCCTAAGCTCATTAGATTTGGACTGTCTAGATTTAAAATTTTTAATTATTTATTTTTAAACTAATTAGGTGACATGATGAGCTGGACATGTAATTAGGAAAGGTGGGGAAAAAAAGAGTCAGGTCTGTTTAAAATGCAGCACATGAGGACAGAGCACCTGACTCCCCCCCTCTCCCAACCCAAAAATTTCATGTCTGGCTCATCATGCCGACTGTTGTTGCTAAGTTAGAAGTCACATCATCCAAACCAACACTATTTATGCCAACTCAGTAAAACTTAATTGTTTGGGGCTAATGTTTTGTAACGATGTAAATTCCAAGAACTAAAATCACAGACGTAAAAAATTTTATGAATCAAAACCAAAGTAGGTTTAAATTTGAGAGATGAAAAATTGCATTAAATGAGACGCTTGTCAAAGTGAGTAATACCCGAATTGATCCATGGTAATGTTGGGCTAACATGATGGTTGGGGACTAGCCTGCCCTGATATACCCGTTATAATTGGCCGTTTGTGGCGCCTTTTCCCATGCCTCCCGTCCTTGTCACGAGCAACTAATAATAAACAATGAAATTAATTAAACTTAATTATTTTTTTAATAAAATTTTAAAATTAATTTTAACAAAAATTATAAGTTAGCGGAGTTTTAATTAGTTATGATGTTTTGCTATGTTGAAATAATTAGTACTTTTTTTTTTGCCTACGAAAAAATTAATACTTTAGGCAAAGCATGTTATATTATAAATAATATTGGAATTTTTTATGATAATGACCCGAGGAAAATATTTTAAATCATGCGCTTAACTCCAAGGAATGAATGACGTCACCCTAGCCAGTAAATTCCGTTTATCTGAAGGTGAAATTCAATGCAGTAAGTCTTTATATCGACTTATGGCTCATAAATAATTATACATGGATTGATAAAATTAAATAAACATGTTTCTAGTTTTGTGGAAAATGTCTATTATATATACAAATTTTATTATATATTTTTTTGCGTGCAATATCTTTCATAAGATTGAAATATTAATCCCATTATTCATAAGTATGAATGGTTTGACTGAGTGGGAGCTTCGAATTATGAGTTATCTAAAAGTTATAATTAAAGGGCATTATATTAATTGAGGTTGATTTGAATCCTCAAACATATGCTCCATTTGCGGCGACGATAATTAACATAGATATTCGTAAATTGATGGCTAGTGATAACCCCCCCTGTTTTATGAATAAAATAGTGTTTATATAATTTAGGTGCATTTTGCAGTTCAATACCAAGTCTTGCCCGATGAAAGCCCAAGCAATTTTGGGCTGTGCTTAGGCAAGGTAGAGTAGGATGGGCTTATCTACCCAAGTAGTACCACCACCTTATCTATATTATGTAGAGATCTCCGCCTTACTTAATAAATAATATTTTGGACTTTAAGTATGCTGCCTCTACCTCTAATCTTAAATATAAGAGCTAGTTGACTAATTCAAGCTGATCTTAAATATAAGAGCTAGTTGAACAATTCAAGTAGATTGAGAAAATAATTTGAATTAGTTATTTGTAATAAATAGGCATTGTTTTTTTAAAAATATTTTTACTAATCAAGTTTATTAGTCAGAATTACCATTATTACAAGAACTATCTTGAGAAAAAATAGATAAATATGAGAGACATAGTGGATTAAAACCTTATATTTAAGACCAAAATAAAATCAAATGAAGTTTTATACTAAGGACTGGAAGTACATATTATTTTATAATTTCACAACTTAATATTCCAAGAGAAGAAATATAAACACTATAATGCAAATTCTCATATCTATCTATCATTTCGTATTTTCTTATAATTACATAATCAACCACAATACAATAGGTTTTCACACAGCAACCATGATCATATATGTCAAAATCTTAAGTCTTGAAACATTTCATTCTACCATATATGTATATTACATATATATTCTACAATGATAAAATGGATATGTGTATTATATTACACAATCAAAAGGTTTCGTCTAATAACTTTATTGAGTGTTTTCTTATATTTAGACCAAATATAGCCTCTCATCTAACTTTCATATTAAGAATAGGAGGCCTAGGTTTAAAAAAAAAAAGAAAAAGACAAAAAGGAGAGGAGGTAGTAGTATTTACATATAAAGCTTTGGATATCAATTGAAAGAAAAGGGTAAAGTAGCCTGCAGCATCTTGATATTATTTCTCAAGTATATTTTATACTGTAATCTTATTTATAGTGCATCCAATATCGTGATATTATTTTCCCAATGTATTCAACACCTCGATGTTAACTTTTTTGTTCAATTATATCTATCACCGTAATCTTATTTATGATTTAGGGTGCTGGAAGCATTATAAATAAGATTAAGATGTTGGAAGTAAAAAAAAAAAAAAGGATGCTGAAGGCATCATAAATAATAAGATTAAGATACTAGATATACTTGAAAAATAAGATTAGGGTACTAGATATTATTTTATCTAAGATAAAACAATTTAGTAACAGTTGCTCAAACCTCAGATTTATAGAAGTGGATCTTTATATAAAGAAACACCTATTAGATGGTAGTACTGTCGTAGTCAAACGTGCATAGATGCATACTGGCATGCAAGCCCAGGAGCTTGCCATTATTCATATATATTACATATAGTAGTAGTACATGCCATGCATTTTTACGCAGATTTGGCCAAGAGACTGTTGAATCTCCTTGATGCAAGAACCTGGCCTGCACATTTGTAAACTTTTGTGCCCAAAGCATCCCTTATCTTAGTACTATAACCTGTTTCCTTGTCATAGTACCTGTTCCAGAGCATGACTCCTCCGAAGTTTGAAGATTCCGTCACGGTCGGAAGAACTTCAGACTTGAGCTCTTCTGGTGGTATGTAACCATAGGATGCTGCGGATGTCTCATTTGACGCTACTAAACCCAAGAACACTGAGCTATTAGCTAAACCTGGCTTTGACGTCCATTTTGCCCATGAGTTAAGAAGATTTGTGAAGTCGTTGTTTCCTAAATATTCGCACGTGGCCCATGGGCCATAATATAAAACCCAGAGATAATCAAAAAGACCCGTGTCGATTGCACTGTCCAAGGAACTGGTATCGCAATGTGGGGCTCCTGAAATGTAAATCTTTTTGTCTTGGGTCGAACCATTGATCGCCCTCACAAGTTCGTCCCATGGCTCTGAGCTGTATTCAACGTGGGCAAGATCGATGCCGTCCAAGGTCACTGCTCCGAGAGGGCCTAATTTTCCGCTGAGAAAGCTATCGTAGAGATACTGTGCCAAGGAAGTAGGATCATCGACGGCATCCACCTCGACGGAAAGGAAGACTTGTATGCCTTTGCTTTGACAGTGTTGGATTTGTGAAGCTAGGGCGGAGCAGTTGCCGAGAGGACAGTGGTCTTCCAGGTTTAAGGATGTTGTGTTGCCGGAAACATGGAGGTATGCGATGGCGACGATGTTGTAGAGATTAGAGTCGCATGCCTCGGTTAAGGGTCCTTCACTGGATTCGTTGTTTTGTCCCCAGTAGACGGCGATTTTCCAACCAGGTTTGCTCATGGGGAAATCAACGGCATGAGAGGGTTTGAAGATGACGATGGAGGACAGTGTGAGGAGGGAAAGGAGAATGAGAACTGGTTTGTTGGAAGCCATGATCGATGATGGAAGAGGGTAAGACTGAAGCTTTTTCGGTTTAGCTTGGGGTTTCATGACGTAATGGACAATGCCTATTTATAAAAGATATGAGGGCATGGGAAGGACAAACGTGGCAACAACAAATTTAATATAATATGGGAATTATGATAATATGAGTTATTCCTATAGTCCGCAACATAAGGGCTACTTGAACTTGAATTAGGTGATTATAACTAATATGATCTGATCTCTTTAAAATAACCTTATTCAATGTTATACGTAAATTAACTAGTTTGAAAAAAAATAAATAAATACGTGAGATAAAATAGATTGATTGTTTACATTTAAAATCAAATTCAAGATTATAAGTGATCTGACCTTTATGAGAAGGAAAACACAAGTTTAAACCCTGAAAACATACTTCTTGCAAGGATTTTAACCTTTATGCTTCTGACCTGATAAAGATTAGCCTCAAGTCTCAAGTAACTTGAAGATACTCTGATTCTCTGAATTATACTAAAAGAACTCTTACTCCTCTGAGCTCATTTATAAAGGAGAGAGAGAGAAACTTTTTTATCCTATTTATAAGACACATAATTAAATTTTTAAAATGAATATACAATTTTATTTTGTATTTATTATTATATAGACTTTGTTCTTATAGAATATATTACACATTAAATAAGAATAAAATTAAATTATTAAATTTTAAGATAAAGTTAATGAGATTTAGAATGAGTTGTAAATATAGTACTAAAGCAGCATACTAGAAACAAGGGGATATTAATATTATTATAACAAGCACGTGTATTATATGGGCGGTCGATAAAAATTCACATGAATCTTATCTCGGCGAAACTACAGCGACAGGAATTGCATGATTTCATGATGGTTTGTGTTTTTAACCCATCGCCCACAAGACACGTACTGCATTCACGGGCTTCAGTTTTAATATATTAGGAATAAAATTATACTATTAACTGCTTGGGAGCATTGAATGTGTTTCTTTTCTTTTTTGTCAGGGGTAATGAATTCATTTAAAAAATATTCCAAGTTACTTGATGCACCTTCACGCTTAATATAAATATTAAATAATACTAAAAATAATCTCATACTCTATACAGAATGTAAGAAGCACTTGGCAAATTAGTTTGAAAAATATTTTAAGATCCGGAAAACAAATTTAGCATAAAAATTGTATAATATCAATTATTTCCCCTCGTACTAAAAGCTACTAAATTTGAGTAGACTAAGAAAATCAGATAAATTAGTTAATATAACTAATGTGATATGATCTTCTTAAAATAACTTGAAATAATATTTAATTAGATATCAATTTAATTTATAACTTAGTAAATTGGTTTTAAAAAATGAAAAATATAAAAGATAAAATATATTGATGTCTTATATTTAAAATCAAATCTAACTATTAACTAACTCTTACTCCTCTTATCCTACTTATAAAGTTCTTCCTTTGGTCCTATATATAAACTTTATTGTTTAGTGTGTCTAAGCATTTATTACTTTTTTTTTCTTATTTTGTCTTTAATTGACTGTATTTATTACTCCTTCTCTCTGATTAATATTATCCCTATGTATTCTCTTTCATCATTTTTTCATTTATTGCCTCTCTCATTTACTCTTTCAATAAATAAGGGCAAATTTTAAAAAAATGTTTTTGACCTATTTATTATTTTTAACTAATTTTAACTGCTAGTTTGATCAACGTGATTCAGTTATTTGAAATTTATATATAGGATCGGAGGGAGTAAAAAAGAGGAGATTTTTTTTGTTTAATTTGTAAGTCATATAATTAAAATTTTCATATGATTTCATCCTTTAATTATTATTAAGCAGACTTTGTTTTCATAAGATATAGTATAGAATATTAAATAGAGATAAAATTAAAAAATTGTTAAATTTTAAAGAAGAGTCAATCGACTTTTAAGTTATTTTTTTTGACTCTGTTAATATATGCAAGAAGTGACTCGTAAATTGAATCATAAAAGTATATTTGAAACCATAGGAAACATTTAATTCTAACAACCACGTTTTATTATGTGGGCAGGCAATAAATAAAACAAATTTTATTCAAACAATACAAAAAGTGTCATAAATTACTTATTCTTTTGTTAATGTAAACTTTAATTAATTAATTTGAGTAGATTAAGGATGTTAATGTAAGATTTATTTCATATATTTGTCAATTTTTTTTCAAATTAACCATATTGACATTTTCTCAACAATAATCAAGTAGAAGAGGGAAAGAAGCAATTAAGAAAAATGGTTAGGGTGTCTTAGAAAAAACATATTATATTAATTAATTTAACTATCAACCTTAATATACTCAAATTAGTTAATTAGGTTTTATATTAAAAATTGGAGGAGCATGCTCCTCTATAGGGCCACGGGCTATCCGTGAGATGTTTAGGGGTGTCTGCATGTGTGTGTATATATATTTTGCTATGAACATGTATCATTTTATTGGAGACAATCATGTTTGAAACAATGTTAAATAGTAAATGAGATTTATAGTTTTTCTAGTTTCCCATAAAGCATGTTGAGAATGAGTTGTAAATACTCCCTCCGGTCTTATATATGAGCTTCACTTTTGGAGATGGGTTTGATTCAAAATATAAGCTTTAGTTTTGAATTTGTTTGAATATTTATTACTTTTTTTTCCTATTTTGCCCATAGTCGACTGTATTTAGCACTCTTTCTTTTTCATTATTATTACCCCCATATATTCTCTTTTTTCATTTATTGCCTCTGATTTGCTCTATTAATAAATAAGGGTAAATTTGGAAAAAATATTTCTGACATATTTATTACTTTTAACTGCTAGGTCATTAAATGTGATTTAGTTAGTTGAAGCTTATATATAGGTTTGAAAGGAGTGAAAAAGTGGAGTTTTTTTGTTTAATTTGTAAGTCATATAATTCAAATTTTCATATGAATATATAATTTTATACTTTAATTATTATTATGTAGACTTAGTTTTCATAGGATACAGTATAGTTAGGAGTGAAAATAGGCTATGCTGAGCTAGGCTTTAGCTAAGTAGGCAAGGGCCTGTAATAAATATCTAAAGTTTGAGCCTAGGCCTAAGCTTGCATGTAGGCTTTGTTTTAGGTTTGAACTTGAGCCTTCAAAGGGCTTGACAAGGCTTGAAGCCTGTTTAAAGACCTATTTCAAATATAGGCCTTTAAATAGGTTTAAAAATCTGTCCCTCCAAGTTCATATATAATCCTTTAAACCTATTTAAAAGCCTATATTATGCCTTAAAAGTCTAGAATCTGTTCTCACTTAGAATATAAGAGTCAAGCAAGAAAATGAAAAGAATGCATAGTGACAACAATTCTCAAATGAAGTAGAAATAAGAAAAACCAATCATCTATTGACTAAATAGATATATTTTTTAAAATTAACCAAACATAACAACTGGCATGTAAAACTTGATTTTATTTTGTTTGGTTTTTCTACATAAATTGTGCAAACTCTTTCTACTGAGATTATAATACTTCATTGAGGCATCATTAAAAATAACTTGCAGCAATTCTTATGCTTTAGCAAATAACAAAAATCAAGGGAAAAGAAGCTAACATTGCCATATTGAGAGATCAGAAAAAAAAGAGAGAGATAAAAGTGAATGATTGATGAATGAAAAGGGGTTGATCATATGTAAGAATGTTATGATGTGATACCTAGAATCAAACTAAAGTTTGTAATTTTATAAATAATTTATAAAATTAATTTATATTATATAATATATAATAACAAAAATTTAATAAAAATAAATAAATAGGCCAGGTCCATAGGCTTGTAGGTTAGGCCTTATGAAAATAGGCCTAAAAATAGGCCTGATCTGCTAAATAGGTTAGGCTATGTTTTATGTAGGTGAGACTATAGGGGCCAAACTTATTTTCACCTCTTGTATAGTATATTAAATAGAGATAACATCAAAACAATTGTTAAATTTTAAGAAAGAATCAATCCACTTTTCAGTTATTTTTTAATTATGTTAAAATAGGTTAGAAGTGACTTGTAAATTCGATCATAAAAGTATATTTGAAATCATAGGAAATATTAATTATAACGACCACGTTTATTATATGGGTGGCTGATAAATAAAACAAATTTTAATAGAAGAATATAAAAAAAAAGTCATAAATCTTGTCTCCTCGAGGTTACGGCGAAAGGAATTATACTCATTCTATTCTTAATATAAAATTTAATTAATTAATTAGAGTAGATTAAGGATGTTGGTTAAATTAGTTATTATAATACTCCTCCAATCCTTAATAATGTATGACCTAATTGAGTAATTGATTTTGGTCTTCTATGTAAGACTTATTTCACATATTTTTTAATTTTTTTCAAATTAACCATATTGACATTTCTTCAATAATAATTAAGTAGGAGAGAAAAGGAGAGAATTAATGAAAATGGTTAGGGTGTCTTAGAAAAGTATATCATATTAATTAATTTAATTGATATCCTTAATCTACTCAAATTACTTAATTAGGTTTTATATTAAAAATCGGAGGAGTATGCTTTTTTTAAAATACTTTAAGTATCTTCCTTAATTTTCTCCCTTCTTCTCTTACTTGATTATTGTTGGAAAATATTAATAGAATTAATTCAAGAAAAAATTGGTAAATATATTAAATAAATCTTATATATAGGACCAAGATCAACTCACTAATTAGGTTCTATATTAAATACTAGAGAAGTAATTTTTATTATGGATGATGATGATGATTTAATTTTAAATAATATTCTCCATTAAATTTGCGTCTTAACTCTTAACACATTGCCAACACACACGGATTCCATTCACATCGCCTTTTAGAAGCCATGATCGGTGTGAGGGTAAATTGGTTTTACAGGTCAAGGCATACGTTGTCCATTATATTTCTATAGGGCCCCGGGAGTTCCAAATATATCCGTGAGATGTTTAGGGGGTGTGTGTATATATATTGCTACGAACATGTGTCATTCTATCAGGGATAATCATATTTGAGATATTATCAAGTACTAAATGAGATTTATAATTTTTCTGGTTTTTCATAAAA